ATCCTCTGGCTGGGAGGCTGGCAGCTTCGGCCCAGCGTCCGGCGCGGTGGGGTCCCGCGCTCAGTGCCCCCCTCGGGCCAGGCGCGAAGCGAGGGAAGCGGAGCGCCTGGACCCTCCTCGGTCGGCCCTCAAGTCCGGTCGGGGACCGGGATGCTCTGGGGGGTCTCTGGGGGCTTGGGAGGCTTCTGATAGTGCTGCTGGGAACGGGTTGTTATCGAACCGCCTGGCTGGCGGGTCAAGGGAATGTTTGTACTTTCTTTGATCCTCATTTCCTCAAAGGACACGACAGCCCGAGAAAATGGAAATAGTTAGTGGAGGAGGGATCCTGAAGTATTCCTTAGCATTTCCTTTTTTAAGATGCACAAAATAGTCAAGAGGCAAAAGAAATTGGTCTGTATTTCCTTGCTAAATCACGCAGCCACATTCTTTAGAATTCAACAACGTGTGGCTCCGTTTGCAACAAAAACTAAAGCAAATGAAGTACGTGGCCATCGCGGGAACCTCTGACTCGTTGTTCTCTCTCGCCCAGGCTCCCCGGCTGGCTGAAACCTACTGCGTGTGCCACCTGGCCACGGGAGACATGTTGCGGGCGATGGTGGCTTCTGGCTCAGAGTTGGGGAAGAGGTTGAAGGAGACGATGGATGCTGGGAAGCTGGTGGGTAAAACAGTGGCGCTCTCTGAAGAACCTCAAGTTCAGAAGAATCCTCTGTCGATTGAGTGTTGAGATTCCCAGCCGTTGACTTAAACCAGCTTCTCCCATCCTGTTGTTCCCCAAATAACAAATTTATAGGGGCTTGCAAGGCAGGGAGGAGTGATGTCACACCCATCATGACCTCATTGCACAGATTACGTCAATTATGTAATCATCTGCATTCTCATTGTTTGCACAGTGACATCATGATACATGTAACACCGCGGCTTCTGCAGGTGCCTCTGAGGGACTAAAGTCCTGTCATGTCCAGCCAGCTTGGTGGCTGATAGCACTCTGGGAAAAGGGTGGGGTGGGGTGTGGTGTGATCCTGACTTACACTATTGTAGTGGTATCCTTTGCTCTTTGAATTAAAAGCTTAAGCATCAGAAATCTGACCAAACAGGCAGGTTGAGCAAGGTCGTTGTAAATCAGTTGTGGCCCTTCTCTGGAGAGGATCCAGTTCACCACTCTGATCATAAAATTTGATTAACAAAATGAAGTGGGACTTAATGTCCTAATTATACTGCCTTTCCATTTTTAGGGAAGAGTGATTTATTTTATTGTTATTTTTAGTCTTTCAGGCTCTGGAGATGCAGTGTCATTTCCTACGTTTCCTTCCATATTTGGAGCTCAGATTCCCAGAGGTTGTCTTTGCTTAATGACAATATGTGAGACTGGCAACTCCATCGCCAACAACACAGTTGTAAAATGCGATGTCGCATGACCATGCCGACTTATGACAGCAGTTGCGGCAGTTCCAGTTGACGTTGTTAGGTACGATGCCACATGATCGCCATTTGTGACGACCTGCTGATTTCCCCGTTGACTTTGCTTGTTGGAGGCCAGCAGTGAAGGTTGCAGATGGCAATCACGTGACCATGGGATGCTGCAACTGTCGTAATTGCAAGCTGGTTGCCAAGTGTCCGAGTCACAATCACATGACTCTGGATGCTGCGATGGCTGCAACTACGAGGACCAGTTATGAGTCTTCTCGTTAAGTGTCATCATAACTTCAAACAGTCACTGAATGAGTGTTCACTGAATGAGGACTACCTGTACAGGTGGTCCCCAGTTTAAGAACGAGTTCTGTTCCCAAGGTCTGTCCTTAAGTCAAGTTTGTATGTAAGCTGGACAGCATTATTGTATAACATCGTATAAGTAGTATTGTGTAATGAACTTGAACCATTCTGTATTTAACTTGAATCATTGTGTATTTAACTCAAATTTTGCTACAATAGGCTCCATTCTGAACTATGGGTCATCCTTAAACTGGGCGTTCTTAACCCGGGGACTACCTGTAAGGGCAAATGGTGTAGGGAAAATCAGTGGAAGAGAGATTCGCTTCCACACACCCACTCTTTCATAAATATTTCTTGCTTTTAAATCTGGCATTTTGCTTCTTTCACCTGTGGGGGGGTCTCCACGCAACATTTCTTACGGCGTTTTGCAGGGAGCCTGTGGTGGCTAATCCTTATTTATAGCCTTCATTCGGAACTGTCATTATATCAACATTAGAAAGTCTAGGAGTGTTGTAGATGTGACAGGATTGATTGATTGATTGATTGATTGATTGATTGATTGATTTAACAAATTTATATGGCCACCCACCTCACACACAGTGACTCCGGGTGGCTTACACAGTAAAATCCCCAATGCAAAAAAAACATAAACTCCCCCCCCCCCCCGCCCCCCAACCCAAAATTGGGAAAACTTTCCGGGGTTGGAAAGGGAAAAATCCCGACCCCCCGCAG